TGCTGAGAAAATGCTGGGCTCGCTACGTCTCCCCATGCGGGAACACTGGAGGATCCAGGTCGCGTCCCAAGATCCGGTCAAAGACGGAAACCTCCCGGAAAAGACCATAACCAAACCGAACTTGGTATGTGATAGAGTTCAGCTAGGGCTATGCATAGCATACTGTAGAAGCTAAAAAAATGACCAATATCATGTTGAAGTCTTATGGCTTGAGGTACCTCATAACATAAATGTACAAGGAACCTAGAACCATAACACCGGCAAGTTTGGGCCCCTACATTACTCAAAAACAGGAGCACAGCTTGGCGCAACGTCCGGCTCTACAATGTGCTTCTGTGACTGCAGAGACACCAAGTAATATAGCTTTGAACAGCAAATTGCACCTCGTCGTGGCCAAGCGTGAAGAAATCAGCACTGCGGATGTCTTCCTTGGGCTTGCTGTAACAATGACAGCACTGACATTGCTGGTGCCTATCATTGAATAAGCACAATAAAGATTGCACCAAACCCTGATCTTGCAAGGGAGTGCCAGTTCTGTACCTCTCTTCTTGGCTTGAGGGTTTCCCAAGGTGTGGGTCAATTTAGGGGGTTTCTGTAATCAGGATGCGGCTCATTCTGACTGCATGAGGGGGGCTCCAATTTTGAAGAATACTCATTGACAGGGATCCTAGGAACATCTTGGCGCTCATCCACTGTCCGACGGGCGCTTGGGAGTTGGTGGTGAACTGCTTTTTATCAGCTTAAGCAGTTTGGTCAAGTTGCACATGTGGGAACTCGCAGTCTTGCGTAAGGCCACAAGCACTGGCTTGCATTTCCCTTACTCAAAGAACACAGGCCTAGATAAGACCAAGTCAACCCCCTGGCTGAAACAAAACTTGGGTCAAACAGGAATCAGAACGCGGGGAGTATTGGAGTCTATCAGGTGAAACTCTTCCAACACGCTGGCTTCCCTTCGGCTCTACCGAAGTAGTAGATTGTGGCTTTCTTTTACGCAAGCGGTTGGGAACCTGTCTCTGACTCGATCCTTAACATCTCAGTCCCCACGAGTCCTAAACCCTGAGTCCCAAATCCTCCACAACAAAAGTGGCATCTCCCTACCCTCCCTTAGGCTAACATGGAACCCCACATGAGCCTCTTCAAGGTTTTAGGGCTCGGGGATTTGGTAGTTTTCTGAAATAGGGGGACCTCAATATAGACCCCAAAATACTATAGTCCTTATCTTGGGGAGCCCCAAAAAGAGTACCCCTAATGTTGGGAAACCACCATTTGGGTTTGGGAGATTCGGATTAAGGTTATCTTTGTTGTCTTGGGAGTAGATACGTTATATTGGGGATAGTGGAAAAGAAAATGGAAACTACGATAAGGGGCTATATAGGGGTTATAAGGTAAGGATTTCGGCCAGAGCTGGACACTTCGATCCAGCCCGCACGGTTCCAGGAACGTGCTTTCAGGGCGAGTACCCCACATAGGGCTTGGGGGCTTGTGTACACGTAACGGAGTTCACTTCTATGAAGTTCCAACAGGGATCTCTAAACGATACCCACCTGAAAACTACTCGCCTGCACCACTTCTTCAAATTGGGTCCGTTCATTCGTGTTTCTGGTGGGCTGTACAGAAATTCCATGTACTTTGGGTTTCCAGGATTAGCGTCTGTCGTGATGGTATGGGAGTTTCTCAAGGACCCTTCTTTTGGCGTGCGCGAGAATTTTCCCATTTCACACACAAGCAGATCTGTAGCACCAGCAGGCACTAACGTCCGCCGAAGGGGATTGGGAGCTCGCATGGCTCCGGAATATGCCCCACCTCACGAAGCAATTGCACCTTGGCCGAAATTTAAAAATGTGAGACGTGCATAAAAGCAAGGTACAAAGCGAGCCCCACCTGCTTGGCGAGAGTGTTCAAAACATGATCACGATACACTGGATGTAGCATCGCCTCACAGAAAACACAAGCACAAAGACCACACGCATCGCAATCCATCTGGCCTCATCTTGCAGGACGGCCGCGAGAATTACCTTCGGCTTGGAATAGAGAATGAAGCTGGGCACGCGCGAAGAATCCGTCGAGCAAGGTAATCTGCTCGTGCCTTCCCCTGACCAAGAACATGCTAGACTTCTAGGCTTGTAGTGTTCGCGCTTGCGCCCCTATGCGGATGCTGCATTTATTGAAAATGTTGCGCTCCTCTGGCATCAAAGGTTCGTCGCTGGCCACAATCAATCGCTTGACCTGCAAAATGGCTAGCAACAATGAATATCATTAAATGACGAACGCAACTCTATCACAAGGGTGTTTACAGCCTCCATCATCTGCATGATGCACACAAGACATGTTGCTCCAACATACCAGAGATGCTGCATCTAAGTCAAGCTGGGGAAGCGTCAACTCTGCGACGCAAGCAGTCCGCGCAAAGAAAAGGTAAGGAGGAAAGCAGTCGGCGAGGCTAGAAAGCAAGCCAAGAAACGTCAACTCTGTAGTGCACCATCTCCTGGATTGCATTACATCAAGAACAAGCGAAAAAGCGAGCAGCGAAGCGAACCTTTCGATTCAGGTATCGCTACGCCAAGTTGGAAAGGCAGCAGCGTTGCCTTGGCGGCACGTAGCAGGTTGGAAAACCTTTCTGTTGAAACCCACGATTTGAGATTTGGACTGCTGTTGATGTAGTTTATCCCAGAACTCCGTAAGGAAATCGAAGTAGATTAAGTAGATGGTCTCGGTCTCGCTACCCGAATGTTTCACGACCACTGGGATGCGGCACACCTGGCTGGCGGTTCGCATTGATGACAGAAGAAGCTGCAGGGCCAGGGGTTGAGCCTTTTCATCCGCGGCGTCCAAAGGCACAAAGGAAAAGATTTTGACCATGATGAACGAAGGTCCTGCAAGCAGCGAGAATATTTGAGCCAATTCAAGCCGATTTCTGAGGTTGCGGCCTTCAAGGCAAGCCCACTGAAAGCCAAAATGCAGCAGAAACACACAGAAGTAGAGAGATGCGGCGCGGGGTTGCAACTACATGACACAGCGGCACCACCGTGATTTTGCAGCACACGCCGTGCTCGAACCTCATGCCAGTAGCATGGTTACCGCTTCACATGCGGCAGGAAGGTCCTGCCAACTGTGCTGGAACACAAGAGAAGACCTCATGCCAATTGCATGCTTACTGCCTCACATGCCGCATGAAGGTCCTCCCAATTGCTCTGCAACATGGCCGGCAGATCGACCAGATCTCGGCAGCACGGACAAGTGGGAGCACATGAAAAAACAGAGCACAGCAAGAGAAACAAGAACGAAGACAATACTCGTTTGAAGCCAAAACACAGCCCAGCAAGTTAATCGCGTGAAGGAAATCGCTCATCTGCTGGGAGATCGCTTGGCCGGACTGCTCTTGACTGCCGTAGACCAGTGCCTCAACAGTCATCTTCACAGCAATTGAAACGGCCTCCAAACATCACTGCTTCTGAGCATGCAGCCAGAGTACACTTTCGAGCAAGGCACCCACCGTGCTTGCAGCAGAGGCTTCACTCAAAAATGAAGCTGTGAGTAGATGAACTGCTCGTAGACAGTTTTTCTGTCCTGCTCCGGCAAGATCACGGTCATCATGGTATGGGCAACAAACTTGTTAGACCAAACACAGACGGCGAAAACTGAGGCGAGGGCTCTTTCTTTGGCATTTTTACGACATGCATCAGCCAGGACAACAGGGCAGTCGTTGCCTGTGAAGAGCGGCAGGCATCAGATGTAGCATTCATGTGCATCATCATGTGCACGACCGCCCGTGCCTCCTCTCTTTCCATCCAGCAGGAAATACTCTTCATCCAGTTGTATAGATACTGGATCGCTATGCACTTCGTAGATGCATCCATGGCCTGCACGGGGCAACTGCAAACAACTTCCAGTGGCAGACAAAATCAATGCACACTCACTACAACGCCGGCCTGGGCCCATGCTCGCAACGCTGACATAGTAGATTGCACGGAAGGCCGCATTGTTTGGCCGTGTGCTAAATACTGTCTTAAGTCTTGAGCCAAAGTGCACTAGCTGCGAGCCTTGTTGCAAGGAAACTTGGATCACTACGCACTATAAACATGACCGTTGCAAGAGGACTCAAATGACATCCGTATGATTAGAGGATGTTGTTGGGGCAGCGCGGTGTGCTGAGTACTTTGGTTGCAGCAACGGTCGCCGACACCAGAGCCACAGTGGCGCCTCATGTGAAAGCCATCGAACCAACACCCCTCAAATCCTGTGCCCGAAATCTCAAAACGCTACAGCTAGAAACCCCAACCCCAAGCCCTGAATCTCAACATCTTAGACCTTCAAACCCTAAAACTCAAAGCCCGAAATCTTGAAAACCTAAAGGTAACAAACAGCAAATCCTGCCAAGCGTCCCATGCCCGGAAGCCGACCCCGAGGCGCTTCTTCTGCTGCCGGTTCAGCAGACCTGCGCTTATAGCTTTCGGGCTTAGAGAACAGGGTTTTGGGTTTGAGGGTTTAAAGTCTACTGTTTTAGGTTCGGAGTTTAGGGCTTGAGGCTTGATTCGTGTAGAGTGTGGAGGTGCAGACTTTCGGCTGGTGTCCACGATTTGGGGCTTATACTTACCTCACGCACGCGAAGACCGCCCTGCAAACGTGTCTGATCTACCTTGATGTCGTGGGATAGCCTCTGGCGATCCTTGCTTTCAGCTTTTCCGTTCCTAGCCTGTGTTTGGCCTTGCTGCATTTAGCTCAGGTGCATCTCCCAATGCAAGTCTGACAGCTACAGCATCGTGCTGAAATTGCGAAGCCAAAACCCAAACCCTCAACCACGGAACTTCCATGCCCGCACCAAGAAGCCCAAGCAGTGGCAAGTGTTCCTTTTCCTGGGGATGTTGCTGAGAGACATCGTCGGCTGCCTCTACCGTAATGACCCCGGTCCCCTTAAACGCAGCTGTACACCATCTGGTTCCTGTGGCAGTGGAATACCCGCTCCATGAATGACCACGAAAGCGGGGGCCCATCCTTCGTGCTCAGGCCGCATAAAGCGCCTTCGCCTTGGCATAAAGTGCTTTGCCCTGAGCGCTCTTGCCTCCCACTGCGCAAAAGCCCTTGATTCCTAGCTCCTTACGTGCCGTCATCACGGAGTCAAGCCAGCGCTGTGCGAACTTCTGGATTGCCTTGCCCTTGGCATGCATCTTCTTGCTGACAATCTTGCCCCGCTTGTTCTTCATCAACTGAGTCTTCGCGAGGCCGCCGGATGTCTTCTCCTTGGTTCCGCGGAAGACGACATACTTCGCGCGCTTGCCTGTTGCGATCTTCGACACAGCCTTCTTCTTCATGGCCTTCATTGCCGAATTCTTGGACTTCATGGCGCTAGACTTCATGGCGCTGCACTTCATGGCCTTCTTCATGGCGGTCTTCATCGGCAAAGCCATGGTGGGAAAGCCGGAGATCTGCGGAATCGCAAGGCGGGCTAGAACCAGAACAGGCTCGGCGACACGCACAGATGCTGGTCTGCTCCCTCTGAAGGCTTAGAGGGTACGTAGGTCAAGGACCTCAAAGGAACTTGAAGGACTTTTACGCAGGGGCTATTCATCCTGGTCGTCGTCAAAATGCGCACGCATCTCAATCAGTGCAGTAACTCCGATACCAAAGCAAGGCCATGGGGTGGCCCTCTCACTTATGTCATGGCTTTGCGCCACTTGTCTGAGCTTGACTGGTCATGCATGCCAAGCACTGGTGGCAGTTGTCCTGTCAGTCTCGAAAGTCTTGACGAGCGCCATGATGAACCTGGGCTGCGCTTCGAACAAATGCATTGCGAACCTAAACACCTATGTTATCATTCGTATTGTTATCCTTCTGCATATCGCTATTGCTGCTATTCTTGCTGTTGCTAGCGTTGCTATGTACGGAAGCTTTTTAAGCATGCATGTATGCGTACATATCCACAGCCTTCTTCTTCATGGCCTTCATTGCCGCCTTCTTGGACTTCATGGCGCTGGACTTCATGGCCTTCTTCATGGCGGTCTTCATGGGCAGAGCCATTGTGGGAAAGCGGGAGATCTGCGGAATTGTAAAGCGGGCTGGAACCAGAACAGGCTCGGCGACACGCACAGATACTAATATGCTATCTTTCCCGCTGATTGCCCTCTGCTTACGATTACATACATAGACCAGTTCCTAAAGCCGCAACTTCAGTGCAGAACCCAAAAAACACCCAATCCCCCCCCGGAAAACCGCCAGCTGCTGCTGCCACCCTCCAAGGGGATGGTTGGTCCACCATGTGAGCTACAGTCCAAACTCCTAGCATCCCCCCTTAGTAACCCCCGCGGTGGTCCCGATTTCATGCCCAAAAGAGCCCCCTTTATGGAGTTTAGACTATTGCTCATGTCAAGGCGTGCTCTGCAAAAAAAGCACGAGGTCATTCTATCGACATTACATCTTAACCTTCCGCTCTCATCTCAGTGGAAGGCGCAGGCCGCACGTAGTCAGTTTCCCAAAACTAGGGTAAGGCAATAGACCCCAGAATACTGTGATCCTTACTATAGGGACCCCAAATAGGCACCCCTAATTTTGGGACAACTGCAAATAATTAGCAGGAGCTGAAGCCTCCCTGTGCACCTCAGATTTATGTGAGGGGTGACTTTGGCTGCTGTTGGACAAGTTAGATCAAACTCTCCGAACAAAATGCTATACCCAGAAGGAAGACGTAATCTCACACTCTCTTGGGGGCCACGGTATCCCCCTTAGCCGTACTTTCATGTGGTCTTTAGCTTGGCTATTTGTTATGAATGCCATCATTTGTAGAATGCGAGAATCGCAACCTTCGATTTCTCGAAGCCTGGAACCAGCGTCTGAAGAAGTCACCCGACTTGTTGTACATAGATTTCGGACCCCAACTAAGCAAAGAGTCCAGTTCAGTAGTGGAGGCACAGTATATCTACTGGATACGATACGAGGGCTACGGGGAAGGTCAGGGGATATTTTTTGCCCTGTATCCCCCTGTATCCCACACAGTAATCCCACACGGCCCCGTCATTGGCTTACGTACTAACCCTACGAACCCTTCCTCTGAAGGTCTCAGTGAGCTCCCCCAAACATTCCGTCGAGCAGATAGCTGGGTTGCTGATAAGGAACTCAGATTAAGTTACTATATTATGGGCCTCCAGTACATACAGTGATGGGGCTTACTTCTTATAGTAAGTTTCCTAACAGCACCCAAGTGTCCCCACTCTTCACCGGCTCATGGAGTCCCCTAAACCCTAAACCCCTAAACCCTACACCCTAAACCCCTGTCAGGCCTTGAATCAGCGTCTTGGCTGCGGCGTCCTTGAATCGCTGTGGGAACACTAAAGGATCCTTCAGCACCTTGGGAAGACAGATACACTCCCCCAAACTAACATGGAAACCCATATAGCGCCCTTTTAGAAGAACTGTAGTCCTCATGGGGCCCTTTTTGGGTGTCCATGTTAGTTTCCGAGAGTGTAGGGGTTAGCGCTTGGGAAGTTAGGTTTCAAAGATTTAGGGTCAGGGCCTTCGAGTTTTGAGGGCAGGGCTGAAGGGTTTAGGACTTTAGGGGTCTGGGAGGCCCCCCCCATCCTCCTTTTCGTCTTCCTCCTGTGTAGTTCGATTGTAAGTAGAGCAGACCATGGCCCACGCAGATGAAAGCATTGTGCGGTTCCACATGAACTATAGTCGAAACTCCGTGAAGGGGGCTATGTAGGGGAGTATTCTAGGGGTTATTAAGGAAGATAGAAGGAGTTTAGACAATTGCTCAGACATCTGGCTCCCATCAAGCATTGTAACTTCATTGCATATTCCCTACAGTGCTGCAACAAAAATCGGATTTAGAAGCCGGCTGTCATTGTGGCAAAGGAAGATGTGGTAGTTTCCAGAAATAGGACGAAACCAATTTAGACCCCAAAATACTATATCCTTATGATGGGAAATACCAAAGAGGTACCCCTAGCTTCGGGAAACACAGCTAAACCCTATATAACTCTCATATAACCCCTCTAAGCCCCCTAAACCCCCCTAAACCTGAAAACCCTACCTTTGGCAACCCCCATATGCTCTCAAAATTCCTCTTTTGCCAGGAGACCGAAGTGCATACCTCAGTTGGGTCATCCAGCTCGTCTGCGTAGGGCAGATAGCCGCATACCTGACTTCCCGGCGCTTGGCTTAGGGCTTAGGATTTATGATCTGGGATAACAGGTTCAGGGTGCAGGGGGACGGTATGTACATGTTACCAGCTCCTTTCCATCCATTAGTCAGGGGCTACCAGAAGTGTCTCGCTTCCGTGTTTACGCAAAATGGTACCTTCCGTGCCCCGTATAGGCCCCAATATAACATATTCTTGATTTTAAGGCCTCCCAAACAGGGACCCCAAAAAAGGACCCCTAGTTTCTACAAACTCCTACATGTACCATATGGACACATTGGACCCCCAAGCCGATGTGGTAGCTCGTCGCTGCTGCCTGAGGTCGACTGTGACGGTGACGCTTGCGGTATGGGCAGTTCTCATCACCGTGGGCCCGTTTTGCGGAAACCTAGATACGACCAGAACCCATCGTCTTACCTTTGGTTAGCTGGGAAGGAAGGAATGGAAAAAAAAGTGGAAACTACTATAGTGGGTTATATGGGGACTATGACTACTCTTAATCTATCCTTTCCGGTCCTTCGGTGCCGCAAATTGAGCTTAGGCCGGGCATCTAAAGACCGGGCTTCGGGGTAGCTTGAGACTCTTGAGCAGGTGCATTTCAATGACTGCATAACCGAGTAAGTATTCTACAGAACAGTGGCACGATTCCTGCATCAATCTTTACGTGACAGGCCCTAGAGCATGCTTCCAGGCTTGGACTAAATCATCCACGAACTAACATGGAACCTTACAGGCTTCTTGTGCAAAGACAGTAATCCTTTATAAGGTCCGCTGAAGGTTAATGGTGTTGAGAGGATGCGATAAGGCATCTCAACTGAGATGCCGCCTTAAAACCCTAAAACCCTCAAGCTGGAATATTCGATTAACCTTGACGTCCAGACTGCTCGTGTCCTGCTTCCTTGGTGGCTGATCCAAGGAGGATTACATCGTATGTATGGAATACTATACCCCCGAAAAGGATATCATCTTCGTCTACATGGGACTCCATAGCAGCCCCATCAAAGTGCTACACACTTGGGCCCTGGGTTTTGTTCAGCACTTTAGCAACACCTTACCAGCAGCACGCATAGAACGTTTGAAAGCAGCTGTCCCAGGGACCCTACACAAGAAGGGTGCTTATCCATTTTGGTTAAAGGCGTTTTGAACTACTACCACCCCATCATCACCCCCTAGACTCCAAGTCCTAAACCACCTGAAGCACGAGCCTCCAGGCCCTAAACCACCTGAAGCCCTAAACCCTGAATCCTAAAACCCTTGACCCTAAACATTGGAAATCAAATACCCTTAACCTCGGGCCATAAATTCTTTAGCCCTAAGCTACCTCTTTCCTGGGTTGCTGTTAAGGTACTTAAGTTAAGTTACTCAAGAAGGCAACCCCACTATTTCCTATATCCCCGTTTAGTTCCTTAAAAACAACCCAATTTCACCACACAGAAAGCAGAGGGACGAATTCAAAGAGCATGACGCCCAAGGACCATAGGTCTGCCTCCCAGGGGCCAGCGGGTCATATTATGCGTACTACAGGGGTTTATATAGGAGTGTATATAGGGGATTGTATAATACAGGGTTTAGGGTCTAAACTCCTTAGAGGGGGTTTATATAGCGGTAGGGTTTAGGGTCTGAAATTCGTAAAGGGGGTTTTATAGGGGGTTATGTAGGGGACTACTATAGGTGTTATTAAGCGGGATACTGGGAGTTAGACTCTAGCTCGTCTAGGGTTTAGGGTTTTGTTTTTAGGGTTTAGAGTTTAAGGATAGGGATATAATACTAATGGACTAGAAAATGGAACCTACTGTTTCAGGTTTAGGGTTTAGGAAAAGGAAAAGAAAGTGGGCAATGGAGAATCAAATGGAAAGAACATGGAAACCGCCATATAATGGAGCAACAAGTGGAAAAGAAAGTGGAAAGTCACATGGAAGCTGCCAACTCTGGGGTTATTTAAGCCATTATATAGGGAGCTTACCCCAATAATGGAAAATTTTATGTAGTGTTAAATAGCATAGGGTGGGTTTTGTGTTAGGGTTTGGGGCTTACGCAGGGTCTACTAGGGTTTAAGACTTAAGGTTGTTGTTTCTTGAAATGTGCCGTTCCCGTCTACACCAGTGCCTCATGGCTCATCATCATAGAAGGCTGTACTAGCGCCCCGCGTGAAGCTGAAACCCACTGTTGCAAAGACCAACTTAGCATTGGGAAGTTTGGTGGTAAGGTAGAACATGGACATGCTGCCACGAATTAAGGCTTTAGGCCTTCGTACCCTTGGCTGTGTTGTGAAAA